TATTTATTTTGAGTGAAACAGCACAAGCAAGGGGGTGGGAGAGAGAGAGAGGGAAAGAGAGAGAATCTGAAGCAGACTCTTTGCCATCAGTGCAGGGCCTGATGTGGGGCTCAAACTCATTAACTGTGAGATCATGACCTGAGCCAAAATCAGTTGGTGGATTAACTGAGCCACCCTGGTGCCCCCCAAAGGCTATGTTTTCTGAAATTAATGTAGCTATACTGGCTGCTGACTTTGGTATCCTCCCTCCTCAATGGTCTTTGAGCTTCTCCCATTGTGTATGGTACAGAGTAGAAAATAACAAATGATGTGCAGATGACTGCCATTTAATTTTCTATTTTAAATAAAGTTTATTTTGAGAGCAAAAGAGAATCCCAAGCAGGCTCCATGCCATCAACCCAGAGCCTGACGCAGGCCTCGAACTCATGAACAGTGAGATCATGACCCGACCGAGCCACACAGGCACCTCAAATTTTCTGTTTTTCAAATGTGAGATAACCATATAGGTGATTTGTATTTCCCCAAACAGTGTTTAATTTTTGCCTGTTTTGAGTCTTTATATAAATGGATTCAAACTACACATTTTATCACTCTCTTGGAGACTTATCCATGTTTTCTTACACATTGACTTTTCAGTCCTGTATAGTATTTCATTATATAAATAACCTCCTCATACCTTCAAATATTATCTTCCAAATTTGTTTCTAGTCTTGACCTTTCTTTTGAGCTCTAGACTCCTATAATTACCTGCTTACTCAACATCTCTACTTTGATACATAATAAATCTCAAATTTCATGATCAAAAGACAATTCTTGATTTCCTACTCTTGTTCTCTCCCAAATTTCCTCCCTTTTTAGTCTTCTAGATCTTCCCATTACATCACTGCTGTGCAAGAACCAAATCGAGATGGAAACAAATTGGGTTTTATGTTGAGGTACATGCAGAAGGACAGATTTACTGGACTGGGGTAAAAGATGGTGGGATACAACTAGAGAAAGAGATGGGTAGGGGCCAGAACCTATAAGGCTGGTAGACTGTGATAAGGAGTTCACTGTCTGAGTGGTCAAGAAGCTGCTGGAGAATTTGGCAAGCTGGGAAGACTAGTTAAAATACAGTCATTCAAGAGTCAAAATGATGGGAACCACAGGAGTAGTAGTAGAGAAAGGTGAACAGATTTGGAATATATCTTAGAGCTAGAAATGGTAAAACTTGCTGATGGATTAGATGCATCAATCCATTAGTGCAAGAAACAGACATAGGTCAAAGTGACTTGTTTCTCATAATGTCCCTTTCCTTCTAGACCTATTAAGTGTGTATTAGATGCTTTCATTCCATCTCCCAGGATGCTTTTTCATATTTTCTATTCATTTCAGTATCGCATTGTATGTGATTTTGTAAGATCAATCTCCCAGTTCAGTCTCTCTCCAGTTGTGTCATATCTGCTTTGAAAACTATCAAAATTTTTTTTAAAGATTTGATTTTGGGGTGCCTGGGTGGCTCAGTCAGTTAAGTGTTCGACTTCAGCTCAGGTCATGATCTTACAGTTCATGAGTCTGAGCCCTGCATCAGGCTCTGTGCTGACACCTTGGAGCCTGAACCCTGCTTTGCATTCTGTGTCTCCCTCTCTGCCCCGCTCATGCTCTCTCTCAAAAATAAACACTAAAAACAAAATATTAAGTAATCTCTACACCCAACGTGGGGTTTGAACTCTCAACCCTGAAGTCAAGAGTCATACGTGCTTCCGACTGAGCCATCCAGGTGCCGCAAGAACTATTTTTCATTTATTGGATCTTTTTCAAATTTGCCCTTTTTATATTAATCATATTACTTTATGGTTGTTAAGATTAGTCTTTTTTTTTTTTTTTTGGAGAGCCAGAGCATGAGCTGGGAAGGGTCAGAGAGAGAGGGAGACACAGAACATGAAGCAAGCTCTAGGCTCCAAGCTGTCAGCACAGAGCCCGACATGGGGCTTGAACCCACGGACCACGAGATCATGACCTGAGCTGAAGTCAGACACCTAACCAACTGAGCCAACCAGGTGCCCCAAGACTAGTCTCAAAAAAAAAAAAAAAAAAAAAAAATGGGGGGTGGGGGAGCACCTGGGTGGCCAGTCATTTAAGCATTCGACTTCGGTCATGGTCTCATGGTTCCTGAGTTTGAGCCCCATGTTGGGCTCTATACTATCAGCACAGAGGCTGCTTTGGATCCTGTGTCCCCTCTCTGCTCCTCTCTCGTGCATGGAATGATTAAAATTTTTTTTCAGGCTTATTTTTTTGAAAGCATGAGTGGGGAAGGGGCAGACAGACGGAGAGACAGAGAATCCAAAGCAGGCTCCACACTGCCAGCACAGAGCCCATCGTGGAGCTCGGACCCACAAACCATGAGATTATGAGCCAAAGTTGGATGCTCAACAAAGTGAGCCACTTAGGTGCCCATATATTTTAATTGGCCTTAATTGAAATTGTTTCCAGAATTTTACATTTCTTAACTTTAGATATGCCACATAGCAGTAATTCTCAAACTTTTCAGTCTGAGGATCTCATTACATTTTTTTTTAATATTTTAAAAAGTCTGCATTTTTGAGAGACAGTATGAGTGGGGGGAGGGAGAGAGAGGGAGGGAGGGAGGCACAGAATCTGAAGCAGGCTCCAGGCTCTGAGCTGTCACCAGCAACCCTCAGTTTATTCTCTGTATTTAAGAGTCTCTTCTGTTTGTCCCCCTCCTTGTTTTTATTATTTTTGCTTCCCTTCCCTTATGTTCATCTGTTTTGTATCTTAAATTCCTCATATGTGTGAAGCCATATGACATTTGTCTTTCTCTGGCTAATTTCACTTAGCATAATACCCTCTAGTTCCATCCACGGAGTTGCGAATGGCAATGTGTATATATACACATACACACACACCACATCTTCCTTATCCATTCATCCATCAGAGGACATTTGGGCTCTTTCCATACTCTGGCTATTGTTGATAGTGCTGCTATAAACATGGGGGTGCATGTGCCCCTTCGAAACAGCATACCTGTATCCCTTGGATAAATACCCAGTAGTACAATTGCTGGGTTGTAGGGTAGTTGTATTTTTAGTTTTTTGAGGAACCTGCATACTGTTTTCCAGAGTGGCTGCACCAGCATGCATTCCCATCAACAATGCAAAAGAGATCCTCTTTCTCCGCATCCTCACCAGCATCTGTTGTTGCCGGAGTTGTTAGTCATTCTGACTGGTGTGAGGTGGTATCTTATTGTGGTTTTAATTTCTATAGGAAGTCTTTCTTGAAGTAGGAGGCAATTTTTGTCATCTTAGAGATGAGGACTAACACTGATTTGTGTGAATAGCAAACATTTTGTATTAACTGGCAGAACTCAACTTTTTGCTTTATAGATTGACATGGAGTGCTTGGGCACTTGATAATAGATTTTCCTGCAATCAATTTCACTTTAGATTACACCAATGCCAGTGTGTATTCTAGGAAATTGAGGTCTATCCTTAATTAGGACATATACAATTAGGATTAAATATCTGTAACCGATATGTAATGGAACAGTAGCTGCTTTTCTATAATTTCTATTACACTCTTATAGTTACACCACTTTTGCCTCTAAGTGGTTGTGTTCTCAAACAGCTTCACTTTTTAGAATAGTTTATAAAACTTTATATGTGGTGTTATTAGAAGTGTTTACTTTTGAATAAGCTTACATGACAATCTAGAAGGAATAAGGCTATACTTTACTGGTTCATTCAGTCTCAACATCAGAGACTTTCACTCTTGTTACATTATAGGCTCTTGTTGAAAGACTAGAATAATTTTTGGAGAAATTTTTGTGGATACGTAAACAAAAATTATATCCAGAACCCCAAATTTTAATGTTTCTTTAGTGCTAAAAATGTAAGCTTTTCATAAAGGAAAAACTGATGACCGATAATTATCGAAAATTTCAAGTTAAAAATAGACACACAAAAAGGGAACTAGTACAATGGCTATCCATGAACCCATTACTCAGCTTAAAATATTATCAACATTCTTTTATGCTTTTGTTCCCACATGCACACTTTTTAAAAAATGTTAACTACCACATCCTTATAACTCCACAAAATTAACAGCTGTAAAAATCTTTAATCACTCATTACTCAGTTCAGTTTTCCCTATGTATCCATTACTCTTCAGCTATACTACTGTGACTTTAAATGGATCACTTGATTGAAAACATTTCTTACCTGTTTGTGTTTTTATTTGGAAAGCTGGAATGTATGATTTAATTTTAATTCAAATGGTTATTTTTTTAATGTTATAGTCACACTAAGTCTTCCTCTGACCTCCGACCCTTCTTTTTCCACTGAGAGATAATCATTTATCATTTTCCTGCCTGGGCTTCTAGAAACATTTTACTCTTGGGGTACCTGGGTGGCTTAGTCGGTTAATCATCTGACTCTTGATCTTGGCTTGGGTCATGATCTCACGGTTCCTGAGATGGAGCCCTGCATTGGGCTTTGCACTGACAGCGTGGAGCCTCCTTGGGATCCTCTCTCTGCCCCTCTTCCACTCACACCTTGCTCTCTCAAATAAACTTAAAAAAACTGTGAGATGAAAATGACCAAAACAAAATATAATTCTAACTTCCAGCCTATCTGACCTTTCAAACTGGAAAAAGACCTTTAACTTTTATGGTGTGCCCCTTCCTGTCTATATATTGCTGCCTATGTAGTCTTAGAAAACATCAGTTACTATGAGCTATGTTAAATAGCTGACTTATGGAAACAGCAAATAATAAAAATTAAACTCAGGTAGACTTGTTCAAGCTACCCAGTGCTAGGTACAATGGATGTTCTAGATAAGAGTTTCCTCTTGCTCTTCTACAATCTGAATTTAAATCCTAAACAATGGAGAAATAACCATTTAGTAAGGAAAGTGTTGAGATTTTTAAAACTTTTATATGTGAACTAGTAATTTCTTTTTCTTCTTCTAGTGATATTTCCTACAAATAACACACAGTGCATATATTTTACAGTTTCAATCTTATTTTTTATTCTCCATGGAATGCTAGATTTAATGTTATAGTATGGTTGTCAAAGCTACTGAAATGTGACAAATGTCCATGTCTAAATGCTGCAGAACAGTATAACTTTAATGATTTAAAAAAAAAAAGTTGTTATTTTACAGCTGAGGTCTGATGGTTTATAAACCGATGCCTATGTGTATGGCCAGCCACAAACCTTGGGGATGTTTATTACCTGTACATGTATATACAAATATATCCCATACATATATATGCACACAGGCATGTATTAATTTATGTGTGAAATTTATAAAATTATATACATACACATACATGCATATCTATACACATATACCCACCCTCACCATTGAGGCTCACTTTTCTAACACTAATCATCTTCATGCCCAATTATTATTGCTGCCCATTATATCTACATGATTTTAGTGCCAATACCAAGCACCTTGTAGGATGCAGGATAGGTACATCTGTGCATATAGATATGTGTATTTATGTATGTTTGTGTATATAAAGGATTTATTTCTCCCTTTTATGCTTCAGTCATGCATTACTACAATAAACAGTCTTTTCACCATAGGTTTGGAATTCTAAACAGTGTAAAATCTACTTCTGGAAAACTGTATATGTTCATAGTTACAAAAAATATATTATATATATATATATGATTGAAACCTATTGAGTACATATGTTCTCTGAATTGGGCTATATCCTAGCCATTAGATAAATTAAAAAACACCCTCTTAATAGGATGTTATGATAGCCTTAAATAGACCATTACCTGTATTTAGAATAGTTGATATATTTTAAAAGTTGACAAAATGATGTTAAAGATTTGAAAAACACTATGCATCTGCATTAAATATATAAAGGTTTCCACCAAGGGCCAGGTTCAATTCATTGTCTAAGATTTTCATGTTCCAAGAGTGACCAATATTGTAGTCATTATTCTTAAAATTATGGCTCATTAAGGCTTTTATACAAAAAAAAAAAGCCCTATTTTTAATCATTTATAAAAACAAGTTCTATTTAAAAGAAAAAATGTACATGAACACTAAAGTACTCATGGATATTATCCTGCACAAAGGGACTATGTAAAGACAGGAGGCTCGTTCCCAGTAAGAACACCTCATGGTAGCACATGTAAACCTGGTTTGGTTCCTCTGCTCTGCAGCTATTCAGCACGTAAAATTTAAACCATTTCACATTAACATTTAAATTTAATACAGTGCAAATATTTGAGAATAACTTGTTCCCCCCAGTGAAACAAGAACCAGCGTTATGCTGAATATTCTTCAGATCTATTTACACATTGAGCTAAAAGTTCACCATAAACTTTGAAATTTGCTGAATATCAGCAGAAATGTAACTGAACTAGCAGCAATTGCATTTACAATATTTGATAGTTACTTGAGAGAATGCATAAAATTTTCCAGGCTGTACTCTGAATCATATTGCTCTTGATCCCAAAGATCACTCAGGTTTTCAAGGACTGATTTCATACTTGCTTTTCCAGAAGTAGAGGTGTCGGCCTTTTCTGCTTTGCCATCCTTAAAAAAAATTGGCAGAAAGATAAAGTGAAAGATTATTAACTTCAGAAATTATAGTTCCTAACATTGCACTCATTCATTAGAATTAAACACTTCAAGCAATGTGCAAGTTCATGATCTCCTAACAATTTTATTTTAAGCTTTTTATTTAGGAAGAATTTCAAGATTATAGAAGAATTATAAGAACATTCCAAAGACCTCATTAATTGTATATGTATATATTAAATATATAAATTATCAGCATTTAAGTTGTGGATATTATGCCTTTTTATCCTAGATAGGATTTAGCCTGTATTCTTTTTTTTTTTTTTTTTAAATGTTTATTTATTTTTGAGAGAGAGAGGGAGACACAATCTGAAGCTGGCTCCAGACTCTGAGCTGTCAGCAGAGCCTGACGTGGGGCTCAAACTCAAGAAATGCAAGATCATGACCTGAGCCAAAGTCAGATACTTAACCAACTAGCCGCCCAGGTGCCCCAAAATCAACCTGTATTTTTAAGAATAAGGATGTTCTCTGACATAACCAAAGTATAATGATCAAATTAAGGGAACTTAACACCTATGTGATATAGTCCATGTTCAAATTTTGCCAAATGTCACAATAGGATCCTTTATGGTAATAGCTTTTGCTTCCCAAGAACATCTGCTAAGCACAGTTCTGCTCGCTGAAATTCACCCATAAGAATATTCTTTCAAACAGAATAAAAACTATTTGAAAATAGCAATCCAGGGGCACCCGGGGAACTCAGTCGGTTAACTGTCTGACTTGGGCTCAGGTCATAATCTCACTGTTGGTGAGTTCGAGCCCTGCACTGATAGCGCAGAGACTGCTTTGGATCCTCTGTCTCCCTTTCTCTCTGACCCTCTCCAACTCTCTCAAAAATAAGCAAACGTTAAAAAAAAATAGCAATCTAGGTTTCTTTGAGCCTTCTCTTTTCTAGGTTATACATATCTTGTTCAACCTTACTCATATGACATGACTGAAGAACCTGCCTCCATCTGGCTATCTCTTGAGGACTTAATTAATTACTGTTTAAAATGTAGCACTTAGCACCAGACATAATATTCTAAATGTGAGCTGTAATGGAACTATTTTCTTTCATATTTGAACATTACAATTCTGTTATTAAAGCTAGTTTGATTATATAAGGCCACTTCTCACCATAATTTATACTGTGTGTACATTTGACTTCCTGAACCTATGCAGGACTTTAAATCCAATCCTATTAAGTTCTACATTATTAGACTGAATAATACTTCTGGCTGCTGCATCCTTTGATTATGGATTGTTATCCAATGTATTAGTTCCATCATCCACAGTAACAATAATGGCTGTCTATGATTTTTGAGAATCTCTACTAGGTACCCTTTCTAAGTGCTTACATATGCCATTTCATTTTCCCTTCACAACCATGCAGTGATACAGACATTTTTATCCTCCCAAGAGCAAAGATGTCTCTGAGGGAAGAAGTTAATTTGCCTAAGGTCACTAGTTAATCGGAGGCAGGGCAAAAAACACAGACCCAGGTCTAGCTGACTCCAGTGATACTTGTCTTTTAGCAGGAAAGGGCTAAAAAAAAAACCTTGAGGCAAAACACTAAAGATGGCCATCAGGAAGTCCAAACTTCAAACATCCCTTAGTATCCTGAAGAATTTTATCTGGACATCAAAAATCCCTTCAAAGGGTTGCCTACTTAATACTAAAGTGAATGCCTTTTGCCACTCACTCTAATACATTCACCAGGCAGTCCCAGAAGTTTGTGAACACCTTAAAGATAAAGCAAATTGTATAAGTTTGTATAAGTTCTTTACCTTATCAAGAGTAAACAGATCAAGAAGTTGATCTGTCCCCATACTCTGCAAACTAGAATTCTCCTGGCTAATCACAGTATTCGCGATGTTCATCTTAAATTTTTGCAAACCCATTATTTTCTCTTCCAACGTTCCTCTGGTTATCAATCGGTATACGTTAACCACACGTTTCTGAATGAAAAAAGAAGTTAAGCAGCTGCAGCACAAATAAACTGATAAACTTTGAGGTTCACCAAGTCAGGGGGCTTGCATACCTTAACTAAGTACTTGTATCTAATTAGGGTTGGGTTTTCTTTCTTTACCTGGCTTAATGAGCTTCAAATCTTATCATTTTGCAGAGAATATTAGGAATGGACAGTATCCAAGGTTTCCTCAGCACAAGTACCTTACTTAATGCATGAGGAAGTGGTGGCACAGTATTAGGTGACTTGCCTAAGGTCACAACACTCAGCATCAGAGAAGGAACTTAAACCAAGGCTCCCTGTCTTTTTTGGGATGGGTTATTTTTCCCAGTGCAGAAGTGAACACTGGTCAGTGATGACTTTTTACCTGCCCAATGCGATGGGCCCGGTCCATGGCTTGTAGATCACGCATAGGATTCCAGTCGTGCTCCACAAATACTACCGTGTCAGCGCCAGTTAAGTTAAGCCCTAGGCCACCAACATGAGTTGTAAGTAAAAGAACATCTATGGATGGATCATTGTTAAACCTAAAAGTATAGATATTAAAAAATAAAATTAATACATTTCTAAGGTTTCTATAACAAACTGGACTGTTAAATAACAATTAAATAGCACAAATGAGAACACTGCTTTAAAAATCTATGATAAAAGTGCACCTGCCTGGCTCAGTTGGCAGAGCATACAACTCTTGATCTCAGGGTTTTGAGTTCAAACCCCACACTGGGCATAAAGCTTACTTAAAAATATATGATGTGGACATTTTTTAAAAATATACATAACACCTTCAACAGTAGAAAGAATATATTCTAGAACATTTCAGATATTTCACAAACAGAAATAAGTCTGGGTTGTGTTTTAGGATGCCAGATAAAGAGTAAATTGCAAAAATGTAATTAAACACTAATGAAGACAAAACCCAACTATGAACCTTTAACATGTGGAGACAGAAGAGAAGAATTGGGGAAAAGGCTAGATCAGTCAGGAAAATTAGAGAATGAGGTGCTTGCTACAATTGTGTTTTGACATCTAATAGCTTCTAGAAACATTATTACCTAACATTATTGCCAAGCTACCACTTATTACATTCTCACTATGAATCAAAAGGTGGGGCTTTAGACTTTATATACATTATGGTATTTGTTTAAAAAGCTGTATAAAGATATTATTACTGTCCTTATTTTTGATAAATATGACCAACAGAACATGTCTAGAGTCAGGAGTCACAGCTGGGTCTGCCTACCTCCAAAGCCCCTTTGTAGGTTTCTAATACTACTGTGCCTAACAATCTCTCAAGGATGCTTACGAAAAAATGCTCACTCTTAGAAGTCAGCAGGTCTGGGACAGAACCTAGGAATCTGCATTTAAAAACCCAACCCCTGAGGTTTCTAAAGCACAGAATGCAAACCACACTTAAACACCACACTGGAGGTGACTGAGTGTCTCAGGTGGCTAAGTGTCTGACTCCTGATCTCAGCTCAGGTCTTGATCTCAGGGTTGTTGAGTTTGAACCCCGTGTTGGGCTCCACGCTGGATGTGGAGCCTACTTAAAAAAATAAAAGAAATACCACACTCACCAATTCGGCTTCCTACCTGGGCCAGCTTCCAACTTGTTCTCGGCAGAGACACACACAGAGATCAGTCAGAGATCTTAGCTAAGCCATCTGTTTGCTTCTTCCTACCCTAACTCCCGAAAAAAGGTGAGGGGGGAATGTAGTTGTCTCTACTTTTTGTTGATGCCTTAAATTTCTTCCAAGCCCTTCATAGTGCCTCCCTAACATTGTCACACTTTTTTTTTTTTTAAACTAAAACTATTCAATTATATTTTTGGAGTTCTAAATTTTAAAAATGATTTAGTTGGGCTGAATTATACAGTAACAAAACACATGTGCAGATATTTAGCCAAACAATGTTTCATGAGGCAAACTTCTCTATCAGTGATAACTGACTATAGCTTGATTTCTAAGAGTTTTAGAAGCCACTTACCGTGAAACAATGGAATGCCTCTGACCAGGAGGTATGCTGCCATCTAATCTCAGATAAGTGACAGAGGGTAAGTGAGGTTTGAGAAGATCATGTTCTACTATATCAAGCATGCTTTTAAGCTGACAGAAGATCAGTATCCTGTGCTGGGCCACAACAGACTCTGTGCCACTCTCTGAAGTGCTGCCATTTCCCAAACCGCAGTCCAACAGCAACTTGAAAAAAAGAATCAGTTGTTATATAGGTGTTTAATAAAGTATAATCAATCTCACTGTGACAAATACTTTCCCTTATGCTAAGAAAAGGTTAAACTTATCTGTCACCTGGAAAGCACATTAGCACTCTGAGCTGTAATCTGTCATCCTGAAGCCTCTGGAACTAGTTTTGAGGTGCTCAGGCTTAGAATCTCCTGGTTACCTCTTCAGGAGATTCTCTAACAGGTCCTTCTCCCCCTTTCTGAGTTACTTGAGGCTCACTAGAGTCTCAATAAATGTTTACTGAAAAAGATGATCCTTAAGCAAAACAGTTCATGAAAAGTTATAAAAGAACAGAGTATAAAGAAAACAATGCAGCTAAATCTGGCCGAAATCAAAATTACAAAAAAGAAAGAATTATCAACCAAGATCTTTAACAGCAAGAACCATGCTGCTATAGATCTTTTGTACTTCCTGCCTACTTAAATTGTTCAGTGCTTGGCACATAGCAGCTACAATAAATAAATGTGCCTGGGTGGCTCAGCCGGTTAAGCATCTGACTCGGGAATATGGCTCAGGTCTTGATCTCACTGTTTGTGAGTCTGAGCCCTGCACTGGGCTCTGTGCTGGCAGCTTTGGATTCTCTCTCCCTGCCCCTCCCCCACTCGTGTGTACTCTCTCTCAAAATAAACTTAAAAAAAAAAAAAGAAAAAGAACTAAATGAACAAAATCCAAGAGAACAATGTTTGTATCTGTTTGTGAAACTAAAATGCCTAGTATTAATCTTCATCCCCAAGGACCTTAAGATAGTGAATTCTGCCCAAAATGTAAGACCTCAACGCAGGATGCTTTCTCCTTTCTACTAATGAAGGTTACTTAGAAAACCAAAAGCTCAAACGGGAAAGATAACCAAAATCCAAGCAAACTCCCAAGTTCCAGGTAAAACTCTCAGAATATTATGCAGAAAAAAAGTTAACATAACAGACTGGAAAAGCTTTTCTTAGAAAGCCCAGCTTGCAAGGTCTGTCCTTGGCTGAAAGAAGTCTTGAAACTTGGGTTTTGAGAGTCTGCCCATTGTTTTCTACCTGATAAGGGTGGCTACTGTGCTTAAACTATTATGCAAACAACAGGATTATGCTGAGACCTGCTTTCTTTCTGGGAGTCTAGAATTTTGGTATATACTAGGCAGAGGGAGTCTACAGGATCAGACCCAATAAAAGCTTTGGGCGTTGAGTTTCTAATGAGCCTAACTGGTACGCAACACTTCCTATGTACCGTCATCATTGTTTTAAGTGTTGTCATAATTTGATCCTAGGGGAAGAACAAATGTTCTTTCTCTTCTACCTTCGCAGCCCTTAAATTGTAAATTTTAATTAGACTGCCCTAAGCTTTTCCTCCCTCCTTGATAGAGAGTATACATATGGTATACTACCAAGGAATTCCTCTAGATGGAATAAAGAAATCTGATAAATGTAATTACCTCTATCTCTTGCCCCTAAGTCTGTAATCAGATTACCATTTAAGCTAAGTTGATTTTTAAAAATCTGAGGTGTTTTAGGAGAGTATAACTAGGTGGTGCCCAGTATAAAGAAATGTGATATCATCAGTGGAATATTCTATATAGTTTCTATAAAAGAGGAGTTCTGAAGAGAATTTATCAGAATGTCTGTGTCACACACATTCAATTATCTTTTAGTCCCTTAGGCAGCAACATCAAACCTCACAACCAGTCACTTTAAGAACGTCCACCTAAGACTTTGTCTCCAAGTCCACACTTACCATACAATCTTCCTAGTATCTTCTTCCAGGTAGCTATCCTACTGGATGTATGGATATATCATTTGGCATAAATATTCTTGTCTGGCAGCAGAAATGGCATTCTGGCTTTCCCAATAATCTCTTATAACCTGAGTTTGCCCTGAGAAGACTGATGAACTCCAAGTATTCTGACAAAATCTAGTTTGCAGCCTTGAAGAGTTGATTACTATTCTCTAGAAAATGGTTACCAGAGCCACTTGATATGGGTATCTGAGAGGCCAGCTGCCTCCCTAGAGAGCAATTTACTTTTATCTTGCCCTAACTTCAGCACAGGCTAAATTATGTGAGGAATAGCTTGAAAACCCTGGGGTAAAACAGTTTCTGGATTCTTTTTTGATCTTCCACTTATAGTGCCCAGAACTCTAAATGATACGCAAAATTTGGTGTGACTGGTACAAAAGACAGTGAATCTATGATGCCCTCATTTTGGCCATTCTTCCACTGTTATTAATCCAACCCAAGATCATACAAGATTTATTTACCGGCAACTAATTCATACAGTAGGTTTACAGTGAACCTACCATCAAACTCAACTTTATTCTGTGAAATGTTCGCCAATTAATGTTTTTATTTATTATTTTTGCATGTGCGTGTGCGAGCAGGGAAGGGGCAGAGAGAGAGGGAGACAGAGGATCCCAAGCGGGCTCTGCTGCTGGGACTTGAACTCACAAACCGTGAGACCATGTCCTGAGCCACAGTCAGATGCTGAACTGACTGAGTCACCCAGGCGCCCCTGTATCTAAGTCTTTTAAAATTGACTTTGCTTATCTCCGTTAAATTTCACCTACAGTTTGAGTTCATCATTTCAGTATCCTGAAATTTAAAAATTCTGGCATTATTAGATAATTCTGGGACTAGTACTTGCTGATATACAGGTTTCTGTATTTCTAGTGCCAGATTTTTAAAAAGCAAATAAGACTTCTCCCCTAATTCAGAGAACAGACATATTTTATTTTATTTATTTTATTTTTTTTAATTTTTTTTTTTCAAACGTTTATTTATTTTTGGGACAGAGAGAGACAGAGCATGAACGGGGGAGGGGCAGAGAGAGAGGGAGACACAGAATCTGAAACAGGCTCCAGGCTATGATCTGTCAGCCCAGAGCCTGACGCAGGGCTCGAACTCACGGACCGCGAGATCGTGACCTGGCTGAAGTCGGACGCTTAACCGACTGTGCCACCCAGGCGCCCCTGAACAGACATATTTTAGATGAAAGCAAGCTTGTTTTCTCTCCCCTCAGATAGAACTTTTGTTCTGAATGGCTGAAAAGAACTGAGAAAATGGAAAAGATGGATTCTACAAAAGTCTTAGAAGTATGGCCAGAAACAATCTGGGCCTAAGTTGTACAGTTCCTAAGCATCTTAATTCCAGACACTTCAGCTTCAGAGTGACAATAAGCTTCTAAAATGAGAGATCAGTTTAATAACTGCAGAGAAAAATGTGCAAAAAGAGAAACTAAAAATAATTTAAAGCCTATAATATAACTAAAGTGTGGATGAAATGCAAATGATTTTGGAAATCTAATTAGCTGATTCCTTGACTAAGTATATCTTATAACTTTATCAGCTATGTTAAGAAAATCATGAACATTTTATGTACAAAATTAGTTTGGCCAAATAAGAAAACGATTCCATTTACAGACAAAATCTAAAAGCAATACTCATTCTATCATTTTATGATAAAAATCCAGTGTTTTACATTTAGTGATATAAAGATACATACCTGGATGTCATATATGTCATTATATAACATTTTCTATACTAACCCATGTGAAACCTAAAATCTTCATTTATTAGTTATTCTTCATGAAATTTAGGCCAGAATAACTACAGAAAGCAAAAACAATGACTAAAGTCCACATTTTACAGTAAGCTCTTAAATTTTTTTTTTTTTTTTTAGTAAGCTCTTAATTTTTAAGACTAGTTAGAACTAAATGGTGTTAGTTTTAACATTTGGTGCTTGCAACTGGTTCTTTTAAAAACCAATTATTTCTGATATATTTATTTCTGAAATCTTAGAATTTTCAAAAATTCTGTTTTTGAAAGCTACACTAAGACAGCGACATGAAGAAAATGGCAGAGTAGGCAGCTCCCAAAAAAACTCAGATACACATTGACAAATATTATAATCAAACTATCGAAAGAGAATCTGAAAAGCAGCAAGAAGAAAAATGAATTCATCATGTAAAGGGGATCCTCTATAAGATCAACATTGGATTTCTCATCAGAAACCATGGAACACATTACTAAAGAAAGTCAAAACAATCTACAGAATGGGGGAAAATATTTGCAAAATTATGTATCTGATAAGGGCTTAATACCTAGAATATAAAAGAACTCTTAGGGGCACCTGGGTGGCTCAGTCAGTTGAGTGTCCAACTCTTGATTTTGGCCCAGGTCATGACCTCATGGTTCATGAGATTGAGCCCCACGTGGGGCTTCATGCTGACAGCATGGAGCCTGCTTATTAGGGTTCTCTCCCTTTCTCTCTGTCCCTACCCTGCTCATGCACACTCTCTCAAAATAATTAAATAAACTTAAAAAAAAGAGAAAAAAGTCGTCTTAAAATTCAACCAAAAGACAATTTAAAAATGATCCAAAGTTAAACGGCATTTTCAACAATGAGCTAGCATTTCATACGTACTGGGATGGCTGCAATAAAAAAAATAGTAAAGTACGCATTGGCTAGGATGTGGAGAAATTGGAATCGTGGCACATTGCAGATGGAAATGTAAATGGAACAGCCATTGTGGAAAACATTCTGGCAGTTCCTGAAAAAGTTAAACACTGAACTGGTAGATGATCCAGCAATTCCACTCCTAGGTTTAGTTCATCCAAAAGAACTAAAAAGAGGGGCTTAAACTGACACTTACAAGCCAACGTTCGCTGCAGTATTATTCACAATAGCCAAAAAGGTGGAAACAACCATTGTGTCCATCAACACATGACAAGATTTGGGACGCCTGGGTGGCTCAGTTGGTTAAGTGTCCAACTCTTGATCTGGGTTCAGGTCATGATTTCACAGTTCATGATTTCAAGCCCCGCACTGGACTCTGCCACTTGGGATTGTTTCTCTTTCTCTCCATCCCTCCCCCACTTGTGTTCTCTCTCTCAAAACAAACTAAAAAAAAAAAAAAAAAAAAAAAAAAAAA